GCTGTCGATGGTGCCTGGTTCCTCTGTCCAGATGCAGTTCTGGGCTTGCAGCCTCAGCTGCCCTGATGGGACAGCAACCCTGGTTGTCGCTGGAGGCTCTCGGGTCTACACAGACCCCATCCTATATCCTGCAAGGTTGAAACACAGAGGGAGGCTGGCCCAGCCTCATGGGGAAGAAAGGCCAGTGACATCGTTGGCTGAGGCCGGCAGCCATCTTCTAGTGGACACTATGGCTGAAAACCAGCCAGGGGTGCCTCAGAGTCACTGCCACATGTAATCGCCCAGCGGCCCATGGAGAACCAATCAGGCACCTGCATTCACTGCCACGTGTAATCGCCCAGCAGTCCGTGAGGTGCTGGCAGTTCCTCCATCCATGAGTTAGATGGAGTCATCCGGGGGCATGTCCCGGCAGCAGCGCTCTGGCTCCTGACCACCATATCAGCAGCCTGAGACCACCAATCAGGGCTGAGATCAGTACAGATTCCTCCGTTCTCACCAGGCTGCAGGCACCTTGCAGGTCCACACTCCTAGCTGGGGGCCCAGGGAGACTCTGCTTGAAGGATCACGGTTGTGGGAGGAACCCAGCTGCCAGCTGCAGAGCTGAGGTTCTGTCTCCGCCCTGGCCTGTCATGGGGGCCTCCCACCTGCCAAGCAGCAAGCAACGCCGCACGACCATCGACCTCCGTCTCTCACTCCGCTTTCTGGCTCCCTGGACCCAGCCCAAGCTCTGGTGATGACCAGGTAACTCCTGCCCCAAGCAGGCATGCAGATGTTCTAACACAGTCGCTACGTGGCTCTGCATCCTGCGCACAGGCCGCCCTGTAGGGGGCGTCGGCACTGCTGGCTTCAGAGCCCCTCGCGATGACACAGCTGCTGTGAGCACAGGTCCGTGGCCAGTGCTGGGACCCACATCTCCTGCCTCCAGCTGCGTGACTCAGGGAAGCAGGAGCCTCTCCCTCCTACTGTCCGTCCACACACCCAAGGTCACCCATGTGCACCCATGCTGTGCACTTGCTGTGTCTGTTAAGAACGCAGCGTCCTCTGCCCCTGATTTCCCAGGAAAGCTTGACCGTGGCAGTGTTCCCCCCAGGTACATGGGAATATGCGGGGCGGCAGTGGGGGGCACACGGAGACTGCACGCTGGGTCCTGAGGCTGCCTACAAAAAAGAATCCAAAATATCCATTAATTGTTTACGTTGATTGCAGATTTGAATAGTATTTTTTATAGGTTGGGTTAAACAAAATATGAAAACTAATGACACCTACTTCTTTTTCCTTTTCTAATGTGGCCACTGGAAACCTCAGACTCACATCTGTGGTTCCCATTAGGTTCCGTCAGACGGTGCGTGTCTAGAAAGTGGCTGTGAAGTGCCGCCCCTCCCGCTGGTTTTACTAGAATCGCGTCTGACCCGCAGGACTGAACATGTGGTCGGGAATTGTCCGCGCTGCGGCAGTAGAGCTGCTGGGGAGTGCGCTGGATGTTTCTTTCGTTTTGTTTCTCATTTTTGAAAATTTAATATGGAAAGACTTTGAGGTCATGCATGGTCTGCAAATGACTTCTCTGTCCTTACTCAGGACGGGCACCCACACAGGTCTATGAGGAGCATGCACGTGTTGCCTGGGCACATGTGTATGTGAACACGTGTGTCCACGAGCACGTATGTGGGCTTGCGTGTACCTGAGCACGCCTGCTGGCACCAGCATGGGTATAAGCTGCGGCCTCACAGGCTTGTCGCTGTGCAGCTGGAAGTCCCTCTGCAGAGAGTCGGGGCAGGGCCCCGTGGCCTCATGCTGGTGTGTGGCAGCCACAGGTCCAGTGGCTATAGCCTTAGTCTGGCGCCCAGAACTGCTGCCTGTGGTGAGTGAGCTCTGCTGGAGAAAATGGAGAACCGCAAGGGGGACGGGGATGGGGCTGCCGGCTGCCTGCTCCCTCAGTAGGAGGGCCTGGGGGATGGGGACTGGCTGCTGGCTGCCTGCTCCCTCAGTAGGAGGGCCTGGGGGACTGGGACAGGGACGGGGACAGGCTGCCGGCTCCCTGCTCCCTCAGTGGGAGGGCCTGGGGGACAGGGACGGGGACGGGGCTGCCAGCTGCCTGCTCCCTCAGTTGGAGGGTCTGGGGGACGGGGACGTGGATGGGCTGCCAGCTACCAGCTCCCTCAGTGGGAGGGCCTGGCCTGTGCCCAGAGCTGCACTGCTGCCTTCACCCCAGGGCCTCCCGGAGAGGACAGAGCCATCAGCAGACAGCTTCTCCCTTACAGCCTAGGCAGCATCTGCACCCAGCAAGGGTATGCACCCGTGCAGGAGCCTTGGTCATCCCCATTTCGAAGTGCCCCACCACAGGCAGCCCTTAGAAGCCCCTGTGTATCAGCCACCACCATGGAGGACTGGGCATGGACAGGAGACAATGGTGGGGACAGCTGGGGTGTCCCACGGGGACTGTGTGGGGCTATCTGCCCCACAACATGGGCTGACTCCTCCCTCCCCACCACGTCTTGAAGTTCGCACTTCATTAAGCCCCTGGGATGCAACTGCTTAGAGACCCACTTGGGTTAAATGAGATGCGTCTGGATTATTTAAAGGCCCTCGGTCACTCACACGTTCATCTGAATAAGTTTGGTCTGCTTGATTTTACTTCTCTCAGTCTGACTTCTGGATGGGGATTTGGGAAGGAGCTTCTGGGGTTCAGGCAGCCCCAGGGGACGGGCCAAGGCTCTGTACTCCGGCCACCTACTTGTTCCTGCCTCTCAAAGTCTCCCTGAGCCCCAGGCTGGTGTGGACATAGGAAAGTCCCCCTGAAGGGCCCTCTTTGCATGGAGAAGCCTGAGCCCTGAGCAGCCAAGGAGGTTGTGGAAACAGGCAGCCACAGCTGGAGAAAGCATTTCTCCTCCTGCTCCTGCCTGGGCAGTGCCATTCAGATCCGAAGCCCGTCCACGTGACAGCATCCTCCGGGGCCAGATGTGAAGAGCTACTCCATGAAGGCCAGAGGTGAGCACCTGGGGACTTCTCTCCAAAGAGACAGCAGCAGGTACAGACGTGGTGGGTACTGACACTAAGCACAGCACACACACCACACACACTGTCCTCACGCATAGCACACACGTGCACACACACCACACGCAATGTACTCACGCACAGCACACACGTGTACACACACCACAGGCACTGTACTCAAACAGCACACACACCACACGCACTGTCCTCACACACAGCACACACGTGCACACACACCACATGCACTGTACTCACAAACAGTACACACACCACACGCACTGTCCTCACACACAGCACACATGTACACACACGTACTGTCCTCATGCACAGCACACACCACACGCACTGTCCTCATGCACAGCACACACATGCACACACCACACGCACTGTACTCACGCACAGTACACCACATGCACTGTCCTCATGCACAGCACACATGTACACACCACATGCACTGTCCTCATGCACAGCACACATGTACACACCACATGCACTGTCCTCATGCACAGCACACATGTACACACCACATGCACTGTCCTCATGCACAGCACACATGTACACACCACATGTACTGTAGTCATGCACAGCACACACCACACGCACTGTCCTCATGCACAGCACACACGTGCACACACCACACGCACTGTACTCACGCACAGTACACCACATGCACTGTCCTCATGCACAGCACACACATGCACACACACCACACACATTGTCCTCACCCCCGGCACACACATCACACACACTACTCAGCACACACGTGCACACCGTGCACTGTCCTCACACACAGCACACACGTGCACACACACATGCACTGTCCTCATGCACAGCACACACGTGCACTCACCACACGCAGTCATGCACAGCACACACGTGCACTCACTACACGCACTGTCATGCACAGCACACACGTGCACACCACACATACTGTCCTCATGCACAGCACACACCACACGCACTGTCCTCATGCACAGCACATGTGCACACACCACACGCACTGTTCTCACGCACAGCACACACGTGCACACACCACATGCACTGTACTCACGCACAGCACATACCATGCACTGTCCTCATGCACAGCACACACGTGCACACACATGCACTGTACTCACGCACAGCACACATGTGCACACACCACACGCACTGTCCTCATGCACAGCACACACGTGCACACACGCACTGTCCTCATGCACAGCACACACGTGCACACACGCAGTGTCCTCATGCACAGCACACGTGCACACACCACACGCACTGTCCTCACACACAGCACACACATGCACACGCACTGTACTCAGCACAGCACATGTGCACACACAACACACTGTACTCACGCACAGCACACATGTGCACACACACTGTACTCACGCACAGCACACGCACATATGTGCACACACGCACTGTACTCATGCACAGCACACGTGCACACACATGCACTGTCCTCATGCACAGCACATACATGCAGACACACCACATGCATTGACCTCACGCACAGCACACCACACGCACTGTACTCATGCACAGCACACGTGCACACATGCACTGTCCTCATGCACAGCACATACATGCACACACACCAGACGCATTGACCTCACGCACAGCACACCACACGCACTGTACTCATGCACAGCACACACACCACATGCACTGTACTCACAACACACGTGCACACACATGCACTGTCCTCACACAACACTCACCACATTCACTGTCCTCACGCACAGCACAAACATGCACACGCACCACACTGTCCTCACACACAGCAGATGTGCCCACACTGTCCTCACGCACAGCACACACACATACTGTACTCACGCACACATCCACCTGGGTGCTTGCTGCATGCACACAGGTGCACATTCGTGTGGTCGCCGCGCCAGCCTCCCTCCCTGGGGCACTCCTGTCCATCTGTATTGTGGTTGTCCCTGGGAGCTGAGAAGGTCTGGCCTGTTTTCACTGGGATTCAGAGACACTGTTGGCGGCAGAACTGTTTCACCCCCACCTGTTTTCTCCACAAATATTCTTTATTAAGAGAACCGTAATTGAGAGCGTTAGGCAGAACCTGAAGAGACTGTGGCCTTAGTGGTGGGAACGTCTGGTGCAGCTCTGAGGCCTGGGGCGAGTCATCAGGCTCCCGCCTTGGCTTCCCCTCTGTGGGCCGACAGTGCGGCCTGCGTGGGCTCCTCAGGTGAATGCTGTGCACCCCACAGGAAAGGCTTCTCCTCGGGTGAATGCTGTGCACCCCACGGGAAAGGCTTCTCCTCGGGTGAATGCTGTGCACCCCACGGGAAGGGCTTCTCCTCGGGCGAATGCTGTGCGCCCCATGGGAAGGGCTTGTCCTTGGGTGAATGCTGTGCGCCCCACGGGAAGGGCTTGTCCTTGGGTGAATGCTGTGCACCCCACGGGAAGGTCTTCTCCTCGGGCGAATGCTGTGCGCCCCACGGGAAGGGCTTGTCCTTGGGTGAATGCTGTGCGCCCCACGGGAAGGGCTTCTCTGTGCTGTTTAGCAGGTTTTTCATCACCTCTCAAGGGCCTGGAGTTGGAAGAGAAAGAGCAAAATGAAAAGGCGCCTCCGACAGCAGCCGCCACCCCGAGCCCTTCTCTCTGGGTGCAGTCAGCAGCTCTCCACAGCCCGGCCCCGGGCCCTGCACGGAGCTCAGCAGGGACCCCATCTTCTAGAGCAGATGCCAGCCCCACAGACATGCCCTGGAATCCCCTCGGAACTCACAGGAACCACTTTTTTCTGCTTAACCCATTGTTTTAGGGTCCTGGGGCTGCCAGGTCAATGTCCCACAAACTGAGGGACTTAAAGCAAAAATTTCTCCTCTCCCTGGCCTGGATGCCAAAGTTCAAAACAGGGACAAGGTAGGCCATGGGCAGGGAGTGCTCCCCAGGTGTTCCTGGATGTGGACAGGGTGTGCTCCCCGGGTGCTCCTGGATGTGGGCAGGGAGTGGTCCCCGGGTGCTCCTGGATGTGGACAGGGTGTGCTCCCCGGGTGCTCCTGGATGTGGGCAGGGAGTGCTCCCCGGGTGCTCCTGGATGTGGGCAGGGAGTGCTCCCCGGGTGTTCCTGGACGTGGGCAGGGAGTGCTCCCAGAGTGCTCCTGGACGTGGGCAGGGAGTGCTCCCCGGGTGTTCCTGGACATGGACAGGGTGTGCTCCCCGGGTGTTCCTGGACGTGGGCAGGGAGTGCTCCCCGGGTGCTCCTGGACGTGGACAGGGTGTGCTTCCCAGGTGCTCCTGGGCGTGGGCAGGGAGTGCTTCCCAGGTGCTCCTGGGCATGGGCAGGGAGTGCTCCCTGGGTGCTCCTCCTGGGCATGGGCAGGGAGTGCTCCCTGGGTGCTCCTCCTGGGCATGGGCAGGGAGTGCTCCCTGGGTGCTCCTCCTGGGCATGGGCAGGGCTTGCTCCTGGGTGTTCCTGGGCATGGGCAGGGTGTGCTCCCCCTGTGCTCCTGGGCATGGGCAGGGTGTGCTCCCCAGGTGCTCCTGGGCATGGGCGGGGTGTGTTCTCCAGGTGCTCCTTGGCGTGGGCAGGACGTGTAGCTCTGTCCATGCAGCGGGGTTTGGAGGAGGGGGTCCTGGGCATGGAGAGACAGGGCCCCCCTTTGACGCTGGCCACCTCTCTGTCCCTGCCCTTCCCTGCCCCGAGATGGCTGTTTGGGCCCCCCAGAAGCAGGCCCAGAGCATTTGCTGTATCTGCTTTATTTGGGGCATTAGGGAAGACAGGATGTTGGCAGCATTAACCAGGTCCCCTGCTGGCTCCTGGACTGGGCCTTGGCCCCCCTGGGCTGTTCCCACTGGCTGCTCCTGGTGGCCCCTGCTCTGGCTGATCCCCAGACAGGTTCAGTGAGGGTGGCGGGAGGCACTGCCAGAGGCACCTTGTAAACAAGTGAACCTGCCTAGGGATTTGTGGGTTGCGGGGGCGGGGGTGGGTTTAGCATTTGCGAGCTGCCACATCTGGTGGCCCAGACAAACTGAGACACCCAGGTCCCACCCAGCCAACAAGCCCCTGTGCCCCCCAGTCCCACAGTGGCTTGGGGAGAGCATGCCTGCAGCACACTGCCTCTGAGGGCCCACTGGTGTCCAGGCAGCAAGTGGGAATTCTTTCTGCACCTAAATCAGTCTGTGCCCCGGGATCTGCCCCCCAACAGCAGGTCTCTCCTCACAGCTGCCGGGAGGCATGACCTGAGGTACACCTGGAGGAACATTCTGGAAATGAGAACAGCAGTGCAGCCCAAGAGGAGCACAGCAGGTCAGCCTCGCCTCACCCCAGCAGAAGCTGGGCAGGCGCAGACCCTGGGGGCCTCAGGGCAGGACTCCATCCATCCTGGGCTGGGAAGAGCAACTCAGGTCCTGCCTGGAAACCCGAGGCCTCCGGTCCAGGGAACTCAGCAGGAAATGAAAGCCAAGGATGAAACCAGGACCCCAAAGGGCTGGTTCCCAGGCTGGAGCTGCACCCCCTGCAGAAGCTTGGATAGCAAGTGACAGTCAGCAGCGAGGTAGGAAACTCAGGGGCTCTGCGCTTGGAGGGAAGCCCTGCCCATATGGAAATGCTTTTGAAGCTCGTGGTGGTGCACTGGGCCACCAGACGGCTCCGTGAGGACGGTCATCAGCCCCGTTTCTCAGGTAAGAAAACCAGGCTCAGATTTTCAGCAACTTGTGCACAGCAGCAGGTGGGTCACCCTCAGCGGCAGAACCAGCGCAACACCAGCAGGTCCAAGCCTGGAGGTGCTCCTGCACCTCCCCACTGCACCCCAAACTCCCCACACCTCCCCCATAGGCTCTCACCCCACACAACTTCTCACCATACACCCAGAAACCTGGCATCCCACACGCTCCCCCCCGAACACCCCATGCCCCACACACCACACAGCCCCCACCCCCACAAACCCTGCACCATCCACCCAGCAACTCCGAATCCCACAGGCTGCCCACCCTCACCCTGCGCCCCACCCTCCCATACCCAGCACCCTGCATCCCACACCCTGCACCCCGGTGCCTCATCCCCACTCTGCTCCATTACACTCCTGCACGGTGGACATGCTGGACACTGCTGTGCTGAGCCCTGATGCCTCCTGCCTATGCCCTTTGCTCTGAGCCTGGCCTCGCAGCCCACCTCTCCCAGGGTGTCTGGTGGTATTCAGGTTCCTGGTAGCAGCCCAGCTTGCCAGGCTCCAACACTCCCCTAGGGACCCCTGTATCCCCACTCCATCCCCCCAGCCTTTGTGCAGGCCCAGCAACCCCTACCCAGCCCTCGTGCCCAGAGAAGGGAAAGGCTTTCAAAACGGGAGCCCTCAGAGTCCAAGATTCTTCAAAAGTTCCAAAAGAAGTGCTGTATTTTTTAAATAACTCATTTTATCAAAAACACGTGACAGTTAAGGGATGGGAAATGGCGTGCAGAGCTGTCAGACTTTGTTTTAAAGGTACAGCACATCCACCTCCTCCCAATGCCGTAATGCAGCCACACTGAAGCTGGGGAGCACGTGCGTGTCCTCACAGGCCCGAGTTTACAGTGGGTGGAAGCACCAGGGGCTCAGGAGCCCGAGCTTAAGGCCTTCTGCACGGACAGTGCGGGGGACGTGCCATCCCTCCCATGATGCTGAGGGGACCTCACAGTGCCCCCGGGAAGTGCTGGTGGGGCGGGCAGCAAGAGCCACAGTCAGGGTCCCCGGATGGGGCTGCGGGGCCCTTGGTGTCCTTCACTGCTGTGATGGGGCTCCCTGCCGCCCCAGTACCTGTGGGCTGTGACCAGTGCCTAATGCCAGGCTGTGGCAGTGGAGCCCTAGGGTTGGTCAGCAGCCCCCTATGGAGGCTGTGCCATGTGGGTCAGGGGCCCGGCCAGGCCTGCACCAACCAGCACTGACCATCAGTGTGGACAAATGCCCACAGGAGGGGCTCTCGTTCTCCCCACCTTCCAACGGGGAAACCATGTGGGGCCAGCTCAGCACCAAGCGTGGGTCTGGCCCTGGTGGTGGCAGATTTCCCTCACTGTGGTGCAGTCCTGCTCAGTCCCTAGACTGCTGGGCTCCGTCGTGGCTGCTGCCAAAGACTCAGTGGCATCCCCTGCTGCCACCACAGGGACAGCCTCTGTGTTTCCAGGCTGTGCTGTGGGCCCTCGGGGCAAAGCGGCCACTGAGTCAGGGGTGCAGAGGCCTGTGCGGGCTGTGGAGCTGGACCTGGGCCTCACTGTTCTCAGCCTGGAACATGGCAGCTCTGCCAGGGGCCCAGGGGCCGACACTGCCCCGAAGGCGCTTCAGCGCCAGCCACAGGCAGATTGTAAGAAACTCAGGGAAACGTGTAGACTTTTCTGTGACTTGGTGGCACAGCATCTTCTGAACTGCCGATGTCTCACCCACCTCTGGTCAGCGGACTCTGGAAACCCTAGGTTTCCGGTATTTGTAGGAAACTGACGTGCTAAGCCGCAGAGCTGTCCCCTCCAGACGCAGCACAGCAGGGCTCACCATGCGGCAGGCACTGGTGCCAGCCCAGTTTCTGTCTGCTCTGCCCGGCGGGACTGTGGCCAGCCCAAGCACGGCTGCAGAAAGGGTTAGAGTGAGGCTTGCATTTCACTTTCTGGTCCAAGGGTTATACTGTCTGGTGAAAGTTTTTCTTTCTCCTTTTTTGGACAGTGAAGCTGCAGCAATGGGCCAATTGGCACCAGGGTGGAGAGACAGGTATTCCTCACTTTGTGGCACCAACGTGGTTCTGGCAAAGTCTCCTCTTTTCCAGTAAAACAGGTAGTCTCTTAGGACCAGAGGTTTGTCCCCGGGGAAGCAACCTCACTTACCGTGAGCTCTGCCATCTGGGGAAACGGCCTTGCCACTAGCGACACAGAAGCCAGAGGCGTGGCCGTGCGGGCAGCACCACCTGGCACAGCCCCTGCCCCTGCTACGAATCTCGGTGACTGCCCACGTCCCACTCTGCCTGGCCCGCACCTCCCTTACCACCACGCTCAGTCCCTCGGAGCCAAGTGCCCACCCCGCAGCGTGCCCGAAACCCAGGGCCTCCTCTGCACTAATTCAGAGCAGAGCACACCTCTCCTGCGGCCAATGTCTTCTTCCACACAGGCGGCTTCGAGAGGCTCAGGACAGCGCGTGGCGGGGAGGTGAGAGGAGGGCTCGGGCCAGGATGAGGGGCTCGGCCTCACCACGCAGGCTCCATTCCTCACGGAATGGCCGCCCCCAGGCCTGTGCAGGGAGAGGCCCCTCGGCCACCCCGTCCCGACTTCCACGCTGTCGCCTCCAGCCTCCCTCTTCACGTTTTGTGTAAACTCTGGCCCTGCCAGCTGAAAGCGAGTGCTGTTTTCCAGCAGCCCTGTGGCTTTTGGACTCGGACTTGAAATTAGTTCAAGGCGACCCAGGCACACAGCGCACCGGGAAGCCACGTGGGAGCCCTGCGGGTGGGGGCGCAGCCGCCGCAGCCAGACTGACATGCATCACCGCGGCCTGGGCCTCGTCCGGCCTTTATGACAGAGTGAAGGGAGTTGCTCTTACTCACCGACCTGCTTGGCACGGCCGCGTGGATGAGGAACATCAAGGGTCAGACAGTAGGAGTCCGTCTAGACGGTCTGTTTTGGACTCCACGCACACCCGAGGCCTTTCTGCAGTAGAAATGGTATTTGTAGAAAACCGACGTGCTAAGCCGCAGAGCTGCCCCTCCAGACGCAGCCTTTGCAACGCGGCTATTCCCGCACTACCGAGAAAGCAAGTCTCCCACGTCAGGTGGGGCCTGCTCTCAAAACCCCATGGCCGTGTCTGCCGTGGCGTCTCCACCTCCATTTAGAACGAGGAAGCCCGACAGGGAGGCCCCTGGGAGGGACCGGCTGCTTGGGCGGAGGCCAGACCCGGGAGCTTGTCCAAGGCTCACGGCAAAAGTGCCAAGAAAGGGAAGTGGCTCATTTTTCCTCTGGGCCTGAGGGGAGGGTTCGGATTTTACAGCCGCTCTGCAGTCATTTCTCAGGTTTGAAGCAGACCTTTCTGAGTGAGGGAGGAGAACACAAAAGTCTCACATGGGTCCTCACAACCCCACAGGCACTGGGGGAGACGGAGAAGGGTGGGGAGATGCCAGAGGAGGTGGCTGCCTCGTAGGGGATGCCTGGCATGCCCAGCACGGTGGGTCTGTCCCAGGGAACACGTGGCTGTGTCTGGAGGCCTCTGGCTGGCACAGTCACAAGGCAGGTACTCCTGGCATCAAGGGGTGGGTCGTGGGGACATCACTCAGCACCCAGCAGTTCCCAGGGCAGAAACATCCCGCCCAAAATGTGCACAGTGCTGCGGGCAAGAACACCCTTTCCAGAGAATGAACCCCTGCCATGAGGGAGGAAGTCATTGGCCCATCGAGACACCCTGAGGGCGGGCCTGGCCCTGTGTTTTCACCTCACTGTTGTAATGGCTGCCAGCGGGACATCCTCGGAATCGGGCTGCCCTGGACCTCTGCATGGTATCACTGGAGCCTCGGCCCCCCTGCTTGCAAGTGAGCAGATTGCGCAGAGCTGCTGGGCCGGCTACGCCATGCAGACACCTGGCAGGGGTGTGTGGCCACGCCACGCACATAGCCACACGCCGACACCACTCTCCACAGCACGTGCACAGGGTGGCGTTAAAAGAACCAGTGCACACATGGGGTGTCCGCCGCACAGGAAGGTGAAGGCTGAGCACAGGGTGGGAGCTGAACAGGGGACGGGGGGCGCTGAACATGGCGGGGGGGGTCTGCCGTGCAGGAGGGTGGAGGCTGAACACGGGGGGGACTGCCGTGCAGGAGGGTGGAGGCTGAACACAGAGGAGCCCCATGCAGGAGGGTGGAGGCTGAACACGGTGCAGGGGGGCATCTGCTGTGGAAGAGGGTGGAGGCTGAACATGGGGGCATCCGCCACGCCGGAGGGTGGGGGCCGATCACGGTGGGGGGGGTCTGCCGCGCAGGAGGGTGGAAGCCTGAATGTTTCCACTCCCACACTCCTCCAGCAGTTTCTGTCACTGTCCTTCCTCGGGGCCCTGGCCAGATCTGGACACAGCCAGCAGATGTGTCTTTTCTCAGAGAGATGCTGCCACCTCCCCAGAGGGCAGTGCTGCGCCCTTTCCCCTAGCAGAGCGCTGCAGACCCCTCTGGGCCGTGGCTTGAGGAAATGAAGGTCCATATTACTTTGCAAAGGCACTCACGGGCCACTGCAGCGTCACCCCTGACCTGGGCGCAGACGCACATTGTGGCCCAGGAGGACAGGCCTGCCACAGCCTCATGGCCCCTTTTAACCCCACAAGCCTGGGCGGTCAGGCCGTGGGATTTTGGGTGATTCTCTTCAGTCGTTTCTGAATGAGGTAGGCAGGGTACATACTGCTTGAGGCCCACCCAAGGTCCTGAACAGGCCCGGCACCCTTTGGCAGGTGGGAGTTTGCCCCAGCAGTTCTCACTGACGTCCAGCCCCGCGCATCTCGGGAGCAGGACAGCACACCGCCCTGGGAGCTCCACAAAAGCAACCTGGGTCCAGGCTCCAAGTACAGGCAGCTTCTGTGGGAACTGATCCTGTAAACAACAGACTGTGGAGGTGAGACGAGAAAGGGAAAGTCTGCAGGGCTGCGGCCCGAGAGGAGGGAGGCTGCCCTGCCGCTGTCAGCCCCTGGGAGGGCTGCGGTGCCGCTGCCCCCACCAACCAGAGGCCTGCTGCAAGGGGCTGGGCTCCTGTATGCCCGGCCTGCATGTGGGAAGAGCGGCCGCTGTGGCCAGACACAGAAGGTGGACTCCGGCGGTTGTCCTGGACCCGGGAAGCTCAGGGCAGGGGTTGGTAAGCCCACCCAGGCTTCTCTACCCCAGCATTTTGTAAAGGCCATGCATGTCTTGCCGAGAATCACGGAGCCATGTTTAGAGTGAATTGATATGTTTGATCGATGTAGCGAAGGGACGTGCTGACATAATTTCCGAGCAAGCTAAGAAAGGCTGGGACCACTCGGCACAGAGGAGGGCCCACAGCAGCAGAAAGACTCCACCGAGATGTGGGGACGGCCGAGGAGGACCTTCCCCCAGGAGCTCTCAGAGCCGACACTGGACATTGAACCTCCCTGGCCTCAGAGCCCACCGCCTCCAGCATGCAGAGATGGGATCAGGGGCATGGGCTGGCAACCTGGCCATCTTGGAACCCCATTTCACACCACAAAGTGACAAGGACATGAGGCCTGCCCAGGACACACCCACGAGCAGGCCCATCCTGTGCACAGACATGTGTGTGAGGCCATTGCTGAGAACCCCGGGTGTTCCTGCGATTCCAGAATGGCTTTGACCCATCTCCCACATGGACCTTTTGCAAGGGAAAGGTCTGTAGAGAATGTACCACATTCAGAGATAATAAAAACGATCTATACACAGTTACCACCAAAAACAAGGAGAAATAAATGGCAAACAAAGAACTCACACCATCAGAAAATTACCCCAGAATAGATGAAAACGGAAACGGGCTCCCCTGAGAACACAAGATCAGCACATAGGACGGAATCCTCTGAGACCACGGGATCAGCACACAGAACAGGATCCTCTGAGAACACGGGATCAGCACACAGAACAGAATCCTCTGAGAACATGGGATCAGTGCACAGAACGGGCTCCTCCGAGAACACGGGATCAGCACACAGAACAGGATCCTCTGAGAACACGGGATCAGCACACAGAACAGGATCCTCTGAGAACACGGGATCAGCACACAGAACAGAATCCTCTGAGAACATGGGATCAGTGCACAGAATGGGCTCCTCCGAGAACACGGGATCAGCACACAGAACAGGCTCCTCCGAGAACACAGGATCAGCACACAAAATGGGCTCCTCTGAGAACACGGGATCAGCACACAGAACGGGCTCCTCTGAGAACACGGATCAGCGCACAGAACAAAATCCTCTGAGAACATGGGATCAGCATGCAGAACAGGATCCTCTGAGAACATGGGATCAGTGCACAGAACGGGCTCCTCTGAGAACACGGGATCAGCACACAGAACGGGATCCTCTGAGAACAGGGGATCAGCACACAGAACGGGCTCCTCCGAGAACATGGGATCAGTGCACAGAACGGGCTCCTCCAAGAACATGGGATCAGCACACGGAACAGGCTTCTCTGAGAACACGGGATCAGCGCATGGAACAGTCTTTCCTGTCCACTTAGTGCTGGAGCAGCTCCTGGCCAGCCCGGTGCTAGGGGAGAGGCTTGGGTTCCGTCAGAGGACGATGCCATGGACGGCCCACCTCTGTTGCCAGTTGCAGTTCAGACAGGCCGGCCTTGGTCTCCCTCCTCTGGAGCCCCAGCTCACTGCAAATCTGAGCTGCCTGTTGCCCCAGGCCTGGGATTTTGACCTGTCCGCCCCCGTCCTGCCGCCTTTCCAAGCTCTCCATCATCTGCCCCTTCCTTCAGGATTTCTGGAGAGGAGCTGGGAGAGGCAGGCTCAGGACACATTGTCAGGACGAAAAGTTGGGCATTTTGAGAACCACTTTAATCCTGTTTGGAACGGTGGGTACAAATAGATCCCTCATGCTCACTCCGAGAGTGCTCTACTCGGCCTCTGACAGTGGGGAGGTCACTGGCTGCAGACCACATAGGCTCTCAAGTCCACACAGCAGCCTTGGCAGGTCCTTGGAGCCCCTCAGCTCCCTGCAGCCTGGCACCTTCACTCTGATCCCCAGCCATCTCCCCGACATGGTCCCAAGATAAATGCCCTGCCCTCCATCCTGCTTCAGCCCTCCCTCTCCAAGGACCTGGACTGCCACGACCCTGAAAAATCTATTGACGGACACTCAGGAAAGTGGGGAAAACAGGACTATTAAAGTTTACCACTTGGCGGAGGTCAGGGGCTGGCGGGGGCCGCCTTAGGACAGCAATTGCTTTGTGATTACTTCCTGCTTCGGGTCTCCTTGTGAGAGCCGCAGGCAGACGGCTGGTCATAGGGCAGATGGGAGGCCTGTGCTGGCCGCCCCATCCCTGCCACCATGTCTCGCTCTCCATCACGCCCGAGACCCTCTGTGAGCTCTGTTTCAGCTTCCCTGCACTTCCCGGAGTGGAGGAGCCTGGAGCAGTCTGTGGGTTCCCTCTTCTTCCCTGGGCCCTGGCACCAGATCCCAGAGCTCCCAACCCAGCGATATGTTCCCCAGCCATGCAGCTCTCCTGGGGCCCCACAGGGGAGGAAGGTGAAGGTGGCTCTGCCACTCCAAAGTGTGCGAGCTCCGGCAACGTCAGCTTCCCCTGCCTCAGCTTCCTGAGCTCTGAAGGGAGGGTGCGTGACATGACGATTCCTTGGCAGAGATCTCAGGGCACAGTGAGCGCAGACCCCAGGCCTCTCTTGCCATGCACCACCCCGGGGAGTGAAAGTTCAAAATTCCGCATGCGCCTGAGGACCCAGGCAGTGGGAGCATAACTGCAGGCCAGGACATTACATCCACCCCACTGGGGGATGGCGAGGGGCACAGGCTCCCAGGCCCTGGCCCCCATGTCCAGACACCACTCTCACCTGTGCGGGAGCAGGACTTGAACGCACCTGTCTCAGCTCCTTGCACACTGCCCTTCCCACGCCCACACAGGCCCATCCCTTGCCCTAAGAACTCTGTGGGGGTGCAGGCAGAGGCTACCCAACTGCTAACCCATGAGTCTCAGAGTGGCGCAGGGTCTGCCCACGCGCCATTGCCCTCATGCTAGCCACCGTGATTGCTGTCGTGCTACTGGGAGCTGCTCTGTTTGGGAGGGGAAGCCACACTGTGGGAGGGGCCGAGGAGGAGCTGGGGCGCATGCCTGGCCCTGCCCTCCAGCTGGCCTCAGTTCCACGAGAGCCTTGCTGAGAAGGCCCTTGGGGGTGGCCCGCCGGCATCCGACATACTGCAGCTCCCCGGGTGACATCCCCTCTGTCCTCCAAAAGCAGTTATGGGACAACTTGGGGTCAAACTGAATGAAGGAGTGACAAGCCAGGCACACACACTCCTCAGGGGCAGAGGAACAGAGATGCACGCTTCACCTGCCTTCCCAGATGTCACACATGCAGGAAGAGAACAAACGAAACGTTTAAAGTGTTGAGACAGGAAAACACTGCCCACCCAGGATTCTGCACCTGTCAATTAACCTTTAACGCAAAAGAGAAAAAATGCTTTCTCAGAAAAACAAAACTTGAGGGAAGGAGTTGTCAGTAAACCTGCTCCGGGAGAGATTCTAAAGGAAGCTCTTCAGAGAGAAAGAGTAACGCTCAGAGCCAAGACAGGAAGAGCATTAGAGGAGGAAAAAGCAAAGGGAGAAAACAAACCTTTCTGATTCTCCGCCAATCCCAGAGACACGTGTGTCCAAAGTCGTAATGGCAACAATGCATTTGATCACGTGGGCCTACATGTTAAGCATGTATGCTTACCTATGTTACATAAACGTGCACAGCTAGGTGTGCTTACATATGTTATACACACGTGCACACCCAGGTGTGCCCACATGTTATACACATGCACGCCCAGGTGTGCCTACCTATGATATACACACGTGCATGCCCAGGTGTGCCTACGTTATACACACGTGCACACCCAGGTGTGCCTATGATATACACACGTGCACGCTCAGGTGTGCCTGTCATATACACGTGCACACCCAGGTGTGCCTACATACGTTATACACACATGCACGCCCAGGTGTGCCTACCTATGATATACACACGTGCACGCCCAGGTGTGCCTACCTGTGATATACACACGTGCACACCCAGGTGTGCCTATGTCATACACACGTGCACGCCCATGTGCCTACCTATGTCATACACACGTGCACGCCCAGGTGTGCCTACCTATGTCATACACACGTGCACGCCCAGGTGTGCCTACCTATGATATACACACGTGCACGCCCAGGTGTGCCTATGATATACACACGTGCACGCCCAGGTGTGCCTACCTATGTCATACACACGTACACGCCCAGGTGTGCCTACCTATGATATACACACGCGCACGCCCAGATGTGCCTACCTATGTCATACATGCATGCCCAGCTGTGCCTACCTATGTCATACACACATGCACACCCAGGTGTGCCTACCTATGATATACACACGTGCACGCCCAGGTGTGCCTACCTGTGATATACACACGTGCATGCCCAGGTGTGCCTACCTATGTCATACATGCATGCCCAGCTGTGCCTACCTATGTCATACACACATGCACGCCCAGGTGTGCCTACCTATGATATACACACGTGCACGCCCAGGTGTGCCTACCTGTGATATACACACGTGCATGCCCAGGTGTGCCTACCTATGTCATACATGCATGCCCAGCTGTGCCTACCTATGTCATACACACATGCACACCCAGGTGTGCCTATGTCATACACACGTGCACGCCCAGGTGTGCCTACCTATGTCATACACACGTGCACGCCCAGGTGTGCCTATGTCATACACACGTGCACGCCCAGGTGTGCCTATGATATACACACGTGCACACCCAGGTGTGCTTATATGCAAGTGAAACCAACCGCAGCAATGACACAAAGGATGGGAGGGAGACAGTTAAGTGACTTTGCTGGTATGAGTGTCACACTGCCCATGAAGTGCTGTCATATTTGAAAATGGGCCTGGATTCGTTGTATGTTATAAACTTTAGGATAACCACTAAAAAAAGTTTTTTTAAAAAAAACTGTAACTGACATGCTAAGAAAGGAGAGAAAATAGAATCATAGGAAATACTCAGTGAAAACCACAAAGGACAGAAAGAGCCGAAGACAAAAGAAGGAGCAGAGAACATGGGCGACAAATAGAAACGGTTCCGGACGTGGGAGATATTAACCCAGCTGAATCCACATCACCTTGAGCGTGAAAGGTGAAGACGTACCAATTAAGACGGGCTGTCTGGGAAACAAGACCCAATTATGTATTGACTGCAAGAAGCCCACTTTACATACAGCAGCACGCAGATGAAAAGTAACTGGATGGAGAGATTTATGCCTTGCTCACAGGAAGCGGGAGTCGCTACGTTGATTTCAGGCAGCACATTCAAGAGTAAGGAGAGGGTCAGGGACCAGGCAGGGCGTTCCATGATGGTGAAAGGGCCAATTCTCCAAACAGAGGTAACAGTCCTTACAGAGCATGAATCTACATAAGGACAGAAATGCCAGGAGGAATAGATGAATCTACGATCCTAGTTAGAAACTTCAATATATCTCTACCAGAAATGGATAGATCCAGTAGGCAAAAAAAATAAAAGAAATGAGTAAGGACACAGTCAAACTCAATAACACCGTCAACCAACGGAACATAATTGACAGCTCTAGACTCTGCCTCATCCCACGGCAGAACATTCTTCAGCCCACCTGGAACATTCGCCACGATTGACAACATTCTTGTGATTTAGTTCATTTTCACATGGCTATAAATGAACTACCAGGGACTGGGTAATCTGGAAAGAAAAGAGGTTTAACTGACACAGTGCTACACGGCTGGGGAGGCCTCGGGAAGCGTACAGCCATGTGGAAGGCAAAGGAGAAGCAAGGTATGTCTCACGTGGTGGCGGGGCAGGGAGAGAGAGAGGGGGAGAGTGGGGGGAGAGGGAGAGAGAGGGAAAGAGAGAGGGGGGAGACAGAGAGGGGGAAAGAGGGAGGGGGAGAAAGAGAGGGAGAAAGGAGGAGAGAGAGAGAGAGGGAGGGAGAGGGGGGAGAGAGGGAGGGCAAGAGAGAGAGAGAGGGATGAAGAGAGAGGGAGAGGGAAAGAAGGAGGGAGAGAGAGGGAGAGAAAGGGAGAGAGAGGGAGAGAGAGAGAGGGAGGGAGGGAGAGAGAGGGAAAGAGAGGGAGAGAGAGAGGAGGGGTGGAGAGAGGGAGGGAAAGAGAGGGAGAGAGAGAGGGAGAGAGAGAGGGGGGAGAGAGGGAGGGAAAGAGAGAGAGGGAGGAAAAGAGAGGGAGAGAGGGAAAGAGAAGGAGGGAGAGAGAGGGAGAGAAAGGGAGAGAGAGGGAGAGAGGGGGAGAGAGAGAGAGAGGGAGAGAGAGAGGGGGAGACAGGGAGAGAGAGAGAGAGAGAGTGAGAGAGAGGGAGAGGGAGAGTGCCACCACTTTAAAAGCATCAGCTCTCATGAGAACTCACTACCACGGAAACAGCATGGGGAAATCACCCCATGATCCAGTCACCTCCCGCAGGTCCTTCCCTGGGTGAGAGCAGACGTTGCCTGATTTCTGTTTGATATGGTTTGGCTCTGTGTCCCCACCCAAATCTCATCTCAACTGTGAGGATTACAAATTTCAGATGAGATTTGGATGGGGACACAGAGGCAAAGCATATCAAATAGAAATCAGGCAACATCTGCTCTCAGCCCGCAGTGGAGTTAAACTAAAAACCAGGAATGGAAAGGTAACTAAAAAGTCACAAAATACAGACACTAAACGACACATTTCTAGATAACACATGGGATGAAGAAGAAATACCAAGGGAAATTTAAAGATATTTTGAGCTAAATGAAAATGAAAACACAACTTATCAAAATCTGTGGGAAGCAACAAGAGCAGCACCTGAGGGACGTTCACAGCATGTACGTGTTAGAAAAAGAAGAAAGATCCAAACCAATTACCCTAAGCACCCATCTCAGGAGACTAGAAGAAGAGCAAATTGAATCCAAAGTCAGGAGAAGAAAAGACATCACACAAATTACAGCAGAAATCAACAAGATTGGAGACAGAAAATCCATAGGGAAAAGCAATGATACCAGAAGCTGGTTATTTGAAAAGACAAAAAATTGATATGCCTCTAGCCTGGCTAAGAAAATAAGAGAGAAGAGGGGACATCACTACAGAAATGGTACAATTCCTTGAAAGACAATGTGCCAAAACTCACACGAGAAGAACTAGCCAATCTAAATAGACCTGTAACTATTGAAGAAATTGAATAACTAATTAACAACTTTTCCAGGCTGGAAATGGTGGCTCATGCCTGTAATTCCAGCACTTTGGGAAGCCAAGGCAGGAGGATCACTTGGAGCCAGAAGTTCAAGACCAGCCTGGGCAACAAGGCAAAACTGCATTTCTTCTAAAAATCCCCCCCGACAAAGTTAGCCATATATGTTGGTACACATCTGTAATCCCAGTGACTTGGGAGGCTACGGCAGGAGAATTACTTGAACCTGGGAGGCAGAGGCTGCAGTGAGCTCACAGTATTGCACTCCAGCCTGGGCAACAGAGTGAGACTCTGTCTCAAAATTAATTAGGTAATTAACAAGTTTCAAAATCAGAAAACATCAAATATAGATGGGTTTACTAGTGAATTTTGCCTAACATGTAAGGAATAAATTATGCCAATTCTCTATAATCTTTTTCAGAAGATAGAAGCAGAGAGAATGTTTCCAAACTTGTTCTATGAGGCCAGCCTCACCCTACTACCAAAACCAGATAGATAAAACCACAGACCGATATATCTCATGAACACAGATGCAAAAATCCTCGGCCAAATACCACCAAATCAAATTCCATAATGTAGATAGAGAATCACACACCAAGACCACGTGGACGTACCCCAGGTGTGCAAATCTGGTTCAACATTTGGAAATCAATAATGTAATCCATCACATCAACATGCTAGGTTAGAAAATGACCACATCCAGAGATGCAGAAATAGCACTTGACAAAAACCCAGCAGCCATTCTTGATAAAAACTCAGTGAACCAGGGATACAGAAGAACTTCTCCAAGTTGCCACAGATCATCTACGATAGCAACGGTGAGAAAGTCAAAGCTTTCCTGCCAAGATCAGGAACGAGGCAGGGATGTCCTCTCTCATGTCTTCTTTTCAGTGTCAAGTCCCACCTAATGCAGTAAGACACGAAAAGGAAATTAAAAGTACACTGATTGGAAAGGAATAAAACTGTCCACAGATAACATGATTATCTATGTAGAAAACCTGAAAGAATTGATACAAAAAAAAAAAAAACAAGAAAACCCACCAAACTCTCCTGGAACTAATAAGCAATTATAGCAAGTTTGCAGGATACAAGATTCGCATGCAGAAGTCAGTTCCTTTCATACATACTAGCAATGAACAAGGAATTTAAAATTAAAACATAATACAATCACACTGGCCCCCTCACATGAAATACTTAGGTATAAATCTAATAAAATATGATGAGATCCATGTGAGGAAAACTACAAATCTCTGATCAACAAAGTCAAACAAGAATAAAGAGACAGATGAGGAACAAGGCAACAATGTCCCCTCTTCCTGAGGACACTGCAAGGCTCACTGCAGCCTCTGCCTCCCAGATTCAGGCAATTCAAGAGGTGAGGATGTCTCTCACCTCCTCTTGTCCCATGTTCGTGGACAGGAAGATTCAACATTGTCAAGAGTTCATTCTTCGTGATTTGATCTATAGATTCAATGTTATCCCAGTCAAGGTTTCAGCAACTTATGTTGTGGATATTGACCAAACTGATTTTAAAGTTTATGTGGGGAGGAAAAAGACCCAGAATAGCCAGCACAGCTCAGTACGAAGAAAGGGTGATGCTGGCAGAGAACAGACAATAGATCAATGGAACAAAGTAGAGCTCCCACACACAGACCCACGTCGATACAGTCAGCTGATATCAGACGAGGGAATAAAGGCACAGCAGCAGAGGAAGACCATCTTCCCCAAAAACTGTGCCAAGAAACCGAGCACCCACGTGCTGATAAACGGGTCTAGACTCAGACCTTTCACCTCTCACGATTAACTCAAAATGGGCCACAGACCCAGACGTAAAACACA